ACAGTTTGTCTGGTTTGTGTTGGCAACTACCGTACTACTGTACTGTATACAGGTAATAAATTTCCTTTATTTTCATTTAACAATAAATGTGTACTGTATTCTTCTTCATGGAAAAATAAGACATCCCAGGAAAATAAAACCTAGCACATCTTTGGGAGCAAAAATTAATATAAGACATTGTCTTATTTTCGGGGAAACAGGGTATTGCAAAAGAAAATGTAAATTGTTATTATCTCAAATATTATGCTTATATATTGTGACAAGAAATGCTATCATTAATAACAGATCCCAGTAGTGGAAAGGAATATGGAATAAGTAAATTTTTAAATCCATAGCTTCCATTTATATTATTATAAGCAGGTAAAAAAAAAAAAGTAGGAATATAGTGCCATTGACAAAAATGTTTAACACACAAGATTTATTCTTTCATTTGGCACTAATGTTTTTTTTTAATACAGGAGTACAGATTTAAATGTTTCAGTCTTTGAAGTACTGATTATAAATAAATAAAGGTCCCTCTGTAAAAGAGTCCATCCTATTACTCTACCTCAATGTGTAATCATAAAATTATGTAAAGCTAGAATTAATCACACAGAAAATGGATGTTTTGAAAGTTGGTGGTTTCAACACACAACCAGTTCATTTGATATTAAGTAAAGTCATTAAATCATAATATAGTCTATGGGTAATATACTAAAAAACATTTTTCTATTGTAGTAATTATGTTGCTAGAGAAGCACAAATTTAAATCATTACTAGAACTGAAATTTATTCATTTTATATTTATAACACGTTTTGACATATTTGATTAACAGGGAGTTCACTGCCATTTCAAATAATAATCCTGCCACGCTACAGGGTCTGAGGTCTTGGTTTCTAAAGTATTTAGTGGCAAGTCTGGGGGGAAAAAGCACAATCTAGATAAGAGTACTTGGATTAAAATGTATGAAAGGAAAAACCTATTATAGGATAATTTTATCAAAATACTTTCTAACTAAAATGATCTTTTGCTGTTTGCATCTTCATAGAAAATAAAAAGAAGCTATATACTCTCATGCAGCATTAACCTCAAAATTCTGATTCAGTCTTACTTTAGTAATGAACCAAACCAAGTTATTTGCACAATTAAAAAAATGTTTAAAAGCCTTATGGATCCTTTATTTCAAGGAGAAGCATTTCTTTGAAAAATTAAAATAGGGAGAATACTGTTATCTACAATGAATAAAGTACCATGATTAACATAAGAAATTTGTAAGCTGCAAGGAAGTAGAATAATGTATATTTTCTAATGAAATGATAATTAAAGACAGGTTTCTTCACATACACAGAAATTTCCTTAATGCTTTAGGGAAGTGATTGAGGTGTTGATTAAAAAATACTCAATCTCACCCGGGCCAGTTTGGCTCTGTGGTTGGAGCATTGGCCTGAGGACAGATGGGTTCTGTTCAATTTCAGATCAAGGACACTTGCCTGGGTTGCAGGTTCGATCCCTAGGCACAAGTGGGAGGTGACCAATTGAGGTGTCTCTCTCCAGCAGAGGTCAATCTTTCCCTTCCCCCTCTCTATTTGCCCACCCACACCCTCTTTCCTTCTACTCCTCTTTCTCCCACACTCTAAAAACTCAAGGAGCCGGCACCGGTTTGACTCAGTAGTAGAGCATCAGTCTGCGGACTGAAAGGTCCCGGGTTCGATTCCGGTCAAGGGCATGTACCTTGGTTGCAGGCACATCCCCAGTAGGGGGTGTGCAAGAGGCAGCTGGTCGATGATTCTCTCTCATTGACGTTTCTAGCTCTCTATCCCTCTCTCTTCCTCTCTGTGAAAAATCAATAAAAATATATTTTTAAAAAAATAATAAAAAATAAAAACTCAATGAAAAAATATCCTCGGATCTTCAAGTGAGGTTTAAAAAAGAAAAGCCCTTGATCTCTATATATGATTCCAAAATTATTTTGTCAGATTATTAATTTATTAAATAGAAATGTTGAGCACCTACTATGTACAGGTATTTAGTGTGAGACATTAAAAACAACACTTCATTGGAAAAGCACATTTTGGCAGCACTATTACATCTCAAATGTAATACACATCACGTGGCTGAGAATTAACTGTATTTAACACATACAGAGTGAAATTCCGAGCAATCAAAACAATTATACCCTTGAGCAACTCAATTTTTTAAATTACCCTCTCTATTCCCTTAAGTTGATTTTTACTCCACGATTCTTTCCCAGTTCTAAAATGAGATAGGAAGGAAATTTCCTAAGTAAGACCTAATACAAAAGAATAGAAATGTAAGAGAAGCAATGGATTAGCTCTTGGATTCTTGTTTCCATTTGCTCTCTATAGTGCTTCCAATGTTCAGTTTTCTCTTCAAAATATATTGATTTAGAAGAACAAAAAGTACTATAATCTGTTCAGTTCTTACTAAAGTTAGCAAAAAATTGAAACTGAAAAAAAAATATTAGAAATATTTATTCTAAGTTATATAATATTCACCATAGTAATAATCTGATTCTTTTGGTATAAGACTTTTTTTTAAAATAAAGACCACCAACAGGTAGAAAAATTTTCCTTTGCTGTCTTAAGACAGTCATTAGGGGATTTTTTACCAGCATGTTTGTTCATTAACTTGAATGTTAATTTCAAGAAATGTTGCTTTGGCCAAGACCGTTTGGCTCAGTGGATAGAGTGTTGGCCTGCGGACTGAAAGGTCCCGAGTTCGATTCCGGGCAAGGGCATGTACCTTGGTTGTGGGCACATCCCCAGTGGGGGGTGTGCAAGAGGCAGCTGACCGATGATTCTCTCTCATCGATGTTTCTAACTCTCTAATCCTCTTTCTTCCTCTCTGTAAAAAATCAATAAAATATATTTTTTAAAAGAAATGTTGCTTTGTCATCCCAATATCTTTTAGAAAAGTAATTTAATTGGGAAAAGAAAAATGCCATGTTACTTCTTCCTCCCAAGCAAAGAAAATGCATTCCTGAGGGGTCTCTGTTTCTACTTCTCTCTCTCTTTCTCCCTTCCTCCCTCTTACTCTCCTTCCCTCTCCCTTCATACACACACACACACACACACACACACACATATGTATGCATATATGTCCAACAAATATTTGACATTGACCTATTTTCTTTTTACTGGTTCATTATGCTCAGTGTGATTCTCAAACTGCCATGCCTTTCACATTTTATTCAATTCATCAAGGAATAATTGAGTACCTGAGTGTACTGAGTATCTTCCAGACCCAAAGGAAGATACAAAAATAAGACAACCTCTGCCCTCCAGAATCCTTCCATCTCTTCCAGGGGGCAAGGTGAAAACACAATGATCAGAAAGCAATTCATTAAATAGTGCCAAAATCAACATACAGGTAACATGCATTTCATATTTATGTATGATTTTAGAGCGGCAAAACGCTTTCCCGTACTTACCCTCAGAACAATCTTGTTATATACACATTGTTAACCCCAATGAGCAGTGAAAAATCTGAGAGTGAGAAGTTTAACTGCCGACCCTCAATCAGATCCATCAAGTGAGAGTCAAGACTCAAGCCAGAATTCTAAATCTAAGCCCAGTGCTCTTTTCAATATACTCGGTACAGGAAACCAAGGATTGGAATCCTTCGCAGGGCAATACCTGGCCTTCTGCTAGAGATGGAATTAAACCAGATCTGATGGGATGTCAGGAAAGCATAAAGCCATCTGAGTGTCCAGCCAAATGTCCAAGTTAATTTTATTCTGAAAAGATTTATACTTCATTGTTACACATGCAGCACAACTACCATTTCCTCAGTTTTAGTGCCTTTCCCTCTTCAATAAGAGCCTTGCGCTCAGAAACGGGGATGTCAAATAAAATAAAAAGCTGGCCTACAGGGAATCATACAAATCTTAAATGACAAATATAAATCTTAAAGATCTGGTTTCCACTCCTTCTTACACATTGTGCTCGTCCTCAACACTGGAGAACGTAACTCGCCCATATCATAGCTTTTCTAGCATTCTTGCTCCAAATATAACCGCTTCTTTTAAAATGTCAATGACCGACCACACTACCCCACATACCACAGGTTCACCCCCCCAGCTGGCCCCAACCCCTCTGTGCCCAGACACTTCCCCTCCCTCCCAATGGATACGATACCTAATTCGGGTTCTGCAGGTGCCGCCGCGGTGCTGTCACTCAGCACCAACGGATACAGAGTGACCTTTGGACTCCGTCCTTGGCACCTCCCGCAGGGCACACAGCGCAGTCCCAAGCCCGGGAAAGGGGCTCCCCACTCGGGCACGCAGCCGCGCGGGCAGCGCAAGGTCCTCCGAAGCAGCAACGTCTCGGACAAGTAGGAGGAGGATGCCGGGCGCCCGGGGGCGTGCATCACTGCGCCCCATACTCCTGCCAACTGCAGAGGACCTGGTCTGACAACCAGTCCATCCCACCTCCCAGCCAGGTCCGGCCCAGCCGGACTTTACTCAGGACCCGGATGAAGATCGGCGGCGGCAGCGGCGGCGGCGATAGCCAAAAAACAAGGCCACCCGCAGCCCCCAGTGTCCATCGCAGCCAACCTGAGACCTCAGAGACTGGACCGCAGAGAAGCGTTTCTATGGAAACCCCCGGGGATCACGTGACTCGGTGATACGCCCAATCGCCTCGCACCGCCTAGGCCCCGCCCTCTTCCCCGCCTCCTTCGCTCCGCCCCGCCCCTTCTCTGCGGAGAGTCCGTGCCTGCGCACTGCGTCCCGCGCGCCCTCCCTCGCGCACGCGCTCCGCTCCCCGGAGGGAGAGCCGGGCGGCGTGGGAGGTTCGATCTGGGCAAGAACCCCGGAAGGCGCGTGGCCAGCGCGCAGGCCCAGAACCGCCCGAGCCGGGGCTGCCGGCGACGCCCCAGAGCGGAAGAGGGAAGTGAAGGCTTCACCGGGCTAAGGGTTCTTGGCCGGCTTGGCTCGCCGAGATAGAGACCAGAGACCGCGGGTAGAGGAGGAGGCCTTGGCCGCCGCTCGGGATCGGGGATGTCGAAGAACACGGTGTCGTCCGCCCGGTTCCGGAAGGTGGACGTGGATGAGTACGACGAGAACAAGTTCGTGGACGAGGAAGATGGGGGCGACGGGCAGGTTGGGCCCGACGAGGGCGAGGTGGACTCCTGCCTGCGGCAATATCCTTGCATTTACCCCCCCCCCACACCTCCCCATCCCTCCGCGCACCCCGCCCGCCCTTCTCCCGGGACCCCCTCGCTGCTGTGGGTGGAAGGGGCGGGCCCTCCTGGGGGAACGGGCGCAGCGCAGCTGCCCCAGCGGCGGGCGGCTGAATCCTGTGTCTGGGGTCCCCCATCCTGAGAGGGCAGGGCTCTCCGAGACCCCAGGGACCAGCCCCTCGGACACCTGCCTGGCTGGCGGCGCACCCTCCACGCCGGGATGCCTCAGGTTGCGCCCGGGTGCTGCCTCCCGGACACTGGCTGCGCCGGCCGCGCCCTCGCAGCGCAGGGACGGCACCTGGGCTGGTCAGGACTGATCAGGGCTTCGTTTTCCTCCGGGAACGCTGTTTTCTGAGGTCATATTAGCTCCAGCAGTTTATAACGGGGAGGGACGGGCATCTTCCTTCCGTGATTTTTGTTTTTGCTGTGATGGTTTTGTTTTGGGAGCGTTAGGATAGTTTATTCTTTGCCTGTCGAGATTGGGCGGTTGCTGAATGAGTCCCTTGGTCCTTCCAGCCTGGAGGCTTTTATTTTTCTTTTCTTTTTTAATGTATTTGGCGCTGAATTTGTTAACTGGGCAAGGGGTGTGAGTCCAAAACAACCAAAACTCCGAGAAGGAAGCTTAGAAGCTTTGCCCGCTGCACAAAGGCGGTAGAAAGGAGCCGGAATGAATGCATATGGGGAAATCCCTGAAAAGCATTTAAAGTAAATCCCAGAGAATGAGATAGAAGAAGATGAGCTATTGGTTCAAAGCAGAGCCCATTTTTATAATCATGAAGTCGTTACTGTTTCAGTTAAAAAATTTGGCTGTCAGTTCCTGGGTTTGAATTTTTGCATATTTGAATATTCATAACCTTGAACATTTGCATGAGCTCTCCTTTAGAAAAATGTAAATGTTTCAATAGCCAAAGCTGTCGTTTTAGAGATTGTCAATTACTAAATCCACTCATTTCTAGTTATGCTTGGGTGTTTTCATAACGAAGGCTTTGTAGACTCTTTCCTCATCAATGTCCTATTTAATTCTAGTGGGGAAATAGATGAGTGATAATATTTGGTAGGAACTACATTTGGTCTTAAAGGCATCTAAAATACAGCCTTCAACATGTATCAACATACAGATGTTTCTTTCCACAACTTTTACAAGCAGCTGTTATTACGTTGAATTATTTAAATGGGGGTCTTAAAAATGAGCCAGTCTATATGCAAAAGGCTGCTTCCCTAGAAGTCAAGTAAGCCTGGAAAATAACAGCTTATCACCAGCTTAGGTTTTTCTTTCTTCAGAAAATAAGTGGTGAACATTCTTCTGTCTAAAAACATTGTTTGTGATGAATGAATGATGTTTTTCAAAACTAATTTTAGATGAGATGAGATGACCCCTAAGTGGTTCTGCTTTATCCAAATAGTGGATCTGCTTATAAAGACACTGTCTTTTTTGCTCTTGTTACAAAAAAAAGAGACAAATGCTGTTCAGGCACTCACAGATGGAGGAACAAGTGTGCTCTGTGTGGTTTTCCTTTTAGGGGAATGACTGTACATTCTGACAGTCTGATTGGCCATATGTGCTAACTCACTGGTCCTTTCAAAGAGAAACTACATGTAATAGGTATGGCCTAAGACAGTTTGAATAGCCTTAATGAAATATGAGAGAAAATATCCCAGAGTTCTCATCCAACAGTCATTGGATATGTTCTATAATGCCTCTTTTTATCCATATCAAGAGGTTACTAATATAAGTCATTCATATTGCTAATCTACCAACATTTTCTACCAGCAATTAATATAGAATATATCAATTAATATAGAATATAATTCTAGAAAAGTTGGATCTTTGTTTTTTCCAGTTAGAATCACATGTTTTGGTTGAGGTTAGGCTGTTTTTTGGGGAGGCCTAATAATTCTGATACATAGTAATATTTTATAAATATTACTGAATAATATTTCCATGTGTGTCTTACTAGAAAATGAGAGATTAGTAAGATATTCATTTGATAATTAGAACCAAGGAGGGAAGTCTTTGCTTTATTAGACAAATCTAATGTCCTTTTTTGTTTTCAGTATTTGATCTTTGACTGACATACCTGAAAACAAAATGTTGAGTTTTCCAATATTGAACATAGTGACCAATATTGAACATAGTGATTTTTCTTTCTGTGCATGAAGTCCAGTCTTAAGAGCCAATGGTTCCTGGTAGTTGCAGTACTGCTTCCCTGAGGGTCGCCCTTTGCTGCTATCCCCCTTAACCTCCATCACAGGAAACATGACAGCCGCCCTGCAGGCAGCCCTGAAGAACCCCCCTATCAACACCAAGAGTCAGGCGGTGAAGGTGAGTCACACACAAGTGCCCTCTGCTGATCTCTTACCTATAAACACGAAACTCAAAATACGTTTCATCAATAACTTATTTCTGAAGGGTGGTTCAGAGATTTTTTAAAATCTGGATAGAATAAATTGGTCGATTATCACATCTATCTCTAAGCAAATCCTTTCTGCTCTACCTCCAACCATGTCAGGAACTGGCCACTTTTGACCATCTCCATTGCTACCATGCTAGCCAGACCAGCCTGTATTACTGCAACAACTTCCTCACTGGTCTTCCTGCTTCTGCCTTGTCCCCCATACCCCTCCCCCACCCCACCTCAGCTTATTCTCAACATGGCAGCCAAGTGATCCTGTTCAAACGGCAGACAGATCGTACCACTGTTCTCAAAACCATCCAACATCATTTCCCTGAAAGACGAAGTTCCCCACAGTAGCCTGCAAGGCCTGTATGACCTGTCCCCCCCACATCCTCTCTCCTGTTCTTCCACTCAGCCCCAGCACTTGTTCTTTTCTTGTCTGAAATACTTTCCTCAGATATCCCACGGTTTCCTCTTTCATGTCATCCCCTCAGGGCGGCCTTTGCAAAACTGGAACCCCACCCACAGAAGTCTAACTGTTCTGTTACTTATTTACCCTCAGGATCGGGCAGGCAGCATTGTCTTGAAGGTGCTCATCTCCTTTAAAGCTAATGACATTGAAAAGGCAGTTCAGTCCCTGGACAAGAATGGGGTGGATCTCCTCATGAAGTATATTTATAAAGGCTTTGAGAGCCCCTCTGACAATAGCAGCGCTGTGTTATTGCAGTGGCATGAAAAGGTAAGCCATGAATTATAAATCCCTATGACTGGTTCCTTCATAGTAGACAATAACAATGACAACCCCTCTTGTCTAAAAATAATTCTGACTTCTTGGTGATATATCTCTATTATTACAAATAAATGCCTAAAAATAAAAATTTAGATTTATGCTTACTAGTGTTGGCCTGAAGAGAGTCTAATTTGCAGCACTTTTATTTAGTGATTATTGTTTAGTAAACATATCTTGAACTTTGAATTAAATCAAATCTTTGAAAATAAAATAAGTAATAAAAATCAAGAATTGACAATGACCCAAGGTGAAAACAACCCAATGAGAGGAGCATATAAACAAAATGTGGTACATGCATACAATGGAATAAAATACAAATTTTTTTCATCCAAAAAAAAAAAGGGAAATTCTGATGTATGCTACAGCATGAATGAACCTTGAAAACATTATGCAAAGTGAAATAATTCTAACACAAAAAGACAAATGCTTTGCAATTCCACTTATATGAAATATCTAGAATAGGCAAATTCACAGATACAGAAAGTAGGTTAAGAGGTTACCAGGGGTTAGGGAGAAGGCAAAATAAAGCATTAATGATTAATGGGGGTGGAGTTTCTGTTTGGGCTGATAAAATATTGGAAATAGATAGTGGTGATGTCTGAGCAGTATTATAAATATAATTAGTGCCACTGAATTTTACATCTAAAGATCTTTAAAAGTGGCGCATTTTGGATTATATATTTTACCACAGTTTTTAAAAACGGGTGTATATTCTCTAATACCTTACAATTCCCAAAACTCAGTTTTTCAGAAGCTTTTTTTCTGAGTGAAAATACACACATGTAAGGTAAGAATAGGTAGTAAAAATTGCTGCTCAGCCTCTCTCTAGTCACTTTATCCCTCATACACTCTCAAATAAATGTGCTAACATGTATGGATAGGGTAACCATACTCCCAGTTTTCTCAGGATAGCCCCAGTTTAAACCTATTGTTTCAGCATAAATATGAATAGTTCCCCTTTACTCTGGGTACCAATTTGGAGAATAATTTCAGTTAACCCTTACAACAGCTCTATGAGGTCTGTAAACCTCTTTATCATCCTCAGTTTAGAGAAGATGAGCCAGCTTTAAAACCTAAGTAACCTTTTCCAGTATCGCCTCAAGGTTATAGCAAACACTGCTTCAGCACTTACTGTATTCCAAGCACTCTGCCAACTCTTTATAAATAATAATGCACTTAATCCTCATAAAAATACAAGGAGAAAAAGATTGATGTTATTATTTCTTGTTAGTGGGGAAATTGAGGCACATATTTTTTAATATATTTTTCTTGATTTCAAAGCGAGGGGGTTTGGGGGAGAGAGCGAAAGTGAGAGAAATATCAATGATGAAAAAGAATCATTGATCCCACTGGAGATCAAGCCCCCCACCCAGGCCTGTGCCCTTGACTAGAATCAAACCCAGGACCCTTCAGTCTGCAGGCCAACTCTATATCCACTGAGCCAAACCAGCATTGAGGCATATATTAAGGCTTTATTTTTTTTCCTAACATGAGTCACCAGTGTTTTTCCAGTCTTATCTCCTAAATGCTTCTCAAATCATCTACCCAGACACATCTTCAATGCAGCTGTTCACAGCATCTCTCCCAATCTGTTGTTATCGCTTCCCAGACTGGCCTCCCAGCTACCAGTTTTGCCTCCCTCATAGCCATTCTCCACCCAGTCATCAGAATGCTGTCTCTAGAATCCACATCTACCTTGTCAGTCACCTGAAAAATAAAGTCCAGGTTCCCAATCCAGCCTCACCTTAGTGTCATTCTTCCCCTTATGCTCCAGCAGGTCTACCTTTTCCCTGAACACACCAGAACATTTCACACCTCTCTGCCTTGCTCATGATCTTTTCTCTGCCTGAGTGCCTCCTTATCCTTTATGTCAGTCTGTCACCTCCTTATCCATTTAATGTGTTATTCTCTCCATGAAGCCTTACCAGACCATTCCACATTTCATTCCACATTTCTCTACACCCTCAGGCTAAGTATGTGCCTTCCTCTGCTTTTATAGCGCCCAAAGCATAGCTCTGTCACCTCATACATTACATTACATAATATTAAAATAATCTTTTTTATATCTGTCTCTTCAAAGTAGACCAGAATGTGCTGTTTTTATTTACTTTTGTATCCCAAGCATCTAGCACAGTACCTAAAACACAAAGGTTCTCAGTGTTTTCTGAACACAAGTAAGCCAGAGTTTCAGATTTCTAATGCTTAATCATGACTTCCAATTCTTCGAGGTAAAGTCAAAGTTCTGAAGCTCTTAGCCATTAAATAGTAATGCTTAGCTTGGGGAAGAAAAATCTGACAAATCCTGACTAAATGGAACAGAGATTGGTTTATCCCAGTTTGAATTTATTCTGCCGAGAATAAAAGCAGAATATTTGAGCACCTGTTTTAGGCAAGAACATTATGCTGTAGGTCTTTAAGAACAAACTGCTGTTTGGAAACCACGTACTAGAATGTAAATTAGTATTTAGTATCTCTTTGGAACGTAAGTGCATGAGGTCAGGGCCTCTAAGGGTTTTATTGCTTTTCCCCAGTGCCAAGAACGGTGCCTAATGCATGATAGGTGCTCAAGAAATATTTATGAAAGTTAGTGAGTTCAAAATCAATAGCTGCACTCAACCTTCTTCAGGAAAAATGTTTCACTCTGTATGAGAATTGCTTCTCTACACTTACATTTGGTTTGTTTCAGGCGCTTGCTGCTGGCGGAGTGGGGTCCATCGTCCGGGTGTTGACTGCCCGCAGGACCGTGTAGTCCAGCAGGAACTGGGCTTCTCCTGTGGGTGTGGGAGTTGCTGGTACAAAGACCAAAACAACCAAATGCCACCACTGCCCTTCGGGTAGCATCTGTTTCCCTCAGCTTTGCCTTCATGCTTCCTCTTTCGTATCTGTAAAGAAGAAAACTACATATCCATTTTCCTTTCATGAAAATCGGGATAATATATAGGCAACTTTTCAACAGGTGTCATGCTGTCAGAACTATTTCAGTGATACGTATACCAGTCTGTACACAGTATAATTTACATCCAGGTTTAACCACCTCTGTTGGCTGATGGGTTTTTTTGTTGGTGGTGTTTTTTGGGTTTTGTTTCTGTTTTTGACTAATAGTGATAAATTTGATGCCGATTTCCTAACTCATTGCCAGCCAGGAAATACCCTTATAAAAACATGTTTGAGAGACTGGCAGCTGTTAACATTACAAAACTGGACCATACTTCCCTTATTTAAACAAAACGTGTTTCTGGAACCGGTGGTAGGTGAACACCACTGCCGAGTTCCAGCTTTGTGTCCGCCTCCAGATTATGTGAGTTTAAGTATATTCCTCCTCTCAGCACCCAGCGATCATGGCCTCTCGATTTCTTTGTGGTCACCAGGGTCCAGAGCAAGGAGTCTTGCTCGACACTAATGTTCCATAAAATGCCAGAGCCTGTTGGGCTTGACCATAAAACTTTTGTTCCAATAATGTGGCCCTACTTGGGAAAACTCCTCCCCATCAGAAAGGACGTGGAAACTGTGATGTAGTTCAAACTCTGGGCAGCCTCTGAATGAAATGCTGTTTTCTTTAGAATAAGGTGACCAGATGTCCCGCTTTTGGTGGGACAGTCCCGATTTTTAACAATTTGTCCCACATCCCATCTTAAAACACCGTGGGACGCGGGACAAATTGTTAAAAATCGGGACATCTGGTCACCTTACCTTAGAACTATAGTAGCTGCCTTAACCTGATGCGGTATAGAACCAGTATTGAATACGCCCTATAAATGTGTTCAGTGTTCTTCAGGGGAATTAGGATCTCAAAAGATTTGGTTCAGATCCAAACACACACGCCTCGTGTATTTTAGCTCAGTGTTTTTTAAAAAGAAGAAAATGCCACACACAGCAAAAAGTGTTTACTTGTTGGACAAACCAAATCAGTTCTCAAAACAAATGACCGGTGCTTATAAAAAGCTGTTATTCAGTAGCTCCAAATCCAATCACCTGAGTGCATATGACCAAGAGGGAAACCCGCCTGTGCTTCGTATTTACATTGGACACCGTAATCACTGACTTCTGTGAAAACTGGTGCAGAAATCCTGTAAACTCTTTGCTGTTTTTGATACTGCCTTTTGTTTTGTAAAAATTATAAAGTTGAAAAAAATAAAATGTCCATGTTGATTAATTTATTTTTCTAACTCTTACTCTAGTACTTAAGAATGTATAGTTTTTTTAAGGGAACGAGTTCCTATTTTATCACCAGGTTATTGTACGCTTGTCAAGAACTAGTTTGGTACAGAAGGTTTCTAAAACTACTTCGTTCAGCCCTAGCCAGTTTGGCTTTAGTGGGTAGAGCATCGGCCTGGGGACTGAAGTATCCCGGGTTCAATTTTGGTCAAGGGCAACATGCCCGGGTTGCAAGCTCAATCCCCAGTGGGGGATGTGCAGAAGGCAGCTGATCATTGGTTCTTTCTCATCATTGATGTTATCTCTCCCTCGCCCTCTCTGAACTCAATAAAAATATATTTAAAAATAAAGCTACTTTGTTCAAATACAAGGTAGTAGAGAAAAGAGTCATTAACAACTTCAGAGCACAGCCTTTGGAGTGATTTCAAAGCTCTCAATGCAGTTGAACACCATATTCCCACTGCCCAGAGACCTAGGGCACAGCAGTGTGGTAAAGGCCGGAGGGCAGGGGGGAAAGGGGACATTTGCAATAGTGTCAACAATTGAAAAAGAAAAAAAGACATAGACTACAATGTGCAAATTAGTCTAGCAGCTCCAGTCATTTATTTCCAGCTTCTGAACTGTTCCTGATGCCTCAAATCTATTTCTTCTTACCTACTCACAGCAACTTCTGTTTGCTTTCCCAATGCACCGGATTTTGGCTTTAAAGCTTCAGAATCTTACAGGCAACTTAGAAGGCTGTGAATTAAGAGAAGCTAAGCAATAGGTATTAGAGATAGTCAATAGGTATAGCCAAACCACTTATAAATTTTAAAATGAAGAAAAGTGATTTTGCAACACTTTTCCATAAGTTCCTCCATAACATTTTCAAGACTGCACTTGGGGGAAAACTCTGGAGTTTTATAGTCACAAGAATGAGTGCATTCAAAATCTACCAGTGAATCAGCCTTACTCGGGGAAGATAGTAAAAATATTTCACAATTGGTGCAGAATGGATGCCTGCTGGAACCAACTGGCTCCACGCTGCATCTGATGTCAGCCCAGGTTATACTGACCATGGCACAGTGCATCCTGGGAAAGGGGATAGTCTGGATGAATAGTGGAAAATAGAAATAGGCGAGAGAGCACTTTCTGCCCCAACCTGGTCCTTTACCTCCCATTCTTTTCTACTTGAATCTAAGTGGTTTTGTTTCATTTTAGCCATGTTATTTGCTTTGCCACTTTTTAAAGGGGAAATTGGCCCTGACTTGTTTGGCTCAGTGGATAGAGTGTCGGCCTGTGGATGGAAGTGTCCCATGTTCAACTCCTGCCAAGGGCACATGCCTGGGTTGTGGGCTCAGTCCCCAGTGGGGAGTGTGCAGGAGGCAGCTGATCAATGGTCATCTTTTATCATTGATGTTTGTATCTCTCCCTTTCCCTTCCTCTCTGAAATCAATAAAAAAAATATATATTTCAAAAAAATAAAGGGGGAACTGGCACATACACCCTTTTTTGGTCTTTAGGTAACAGCACCACTTAGGTAACAGTCACACTTGATGGGAAGAATGTCTTAAGGAAATCCATTAACACAAGTGAAGTCTATAGGTGGTACAAATTAGCAAAATGCTTCCTTTCTAAGCATTTCCTGTGTTCCCAAGGATCGTGTTGGACATGATAGAAGAACAATGTCTGGGCTTTGCTCTCAGCCTAATTGAGAAGATTTAGGCACTTTAAAATTAATGCCATGCCCTTGTATGCAGATATGCATAACTCATGGATGCAGACACTGGGATGGTGAGGGCCTGGGTCTCACCCCTTTTATAGTAGTAAAAGAATGGGGAATTAAATTTTATAAAAAGGAAAGCATCACACATTAGCAATAAAGAGCCTCACTTATAACAAATGGGTCTGAATCACCCTATCCTTTAACTATTTTTTATCATTTATTAAAATGCCCAGTATGATGAGAATGTCTGCTTAAAAGTAGTTCTTTAACATTGAAACATCAAGTGTCCTACCTTGTGGCCCAAAGTCACACAGATTTATGAACTAGTATATATAATGCAATTAGCAGGCAGCCAGAGTGCCTTCCCAGCATAAGGTCGTAACATGGCTTTTCACTTCCAAAGCAGCATTCTGAGTGCGAGCAGGTGAATTAAACACCAAGGCCACCCTTTAATGAGCACCATGCCAGTCTCATTGTGTTATTTTATCTTTACTCGTAGAACTGGATCTCAGAGAATGTATGTAAAGTCACACAATGTATGGGTCCCAGAATCTGACTCCACTTCCATCTGCCTGACTCCAAGGTTATTCCATGCTTCTTTCTCAAGTTCAGTGCTTGGGGACAAATGAGGATGGGGGATTTCTCTAGAAATCTCAAACTTTAATGTTTGCAGAGTCCTTCAGAGAGGCAAACGTTGGCAGGTGTAGAAGTCAGAGGAAAGCTTTGGAGAGGGGCTACAACTAGAGGCACAGTCAGCACAGCAATGTTTTCACCGAGTTTCACTTGCCTTTTGATGATTTTTAAAGTGGTGAGGTTAGAGGTCAATGCCCATACCATTCATAACTCCACTAGAAGAGAGAAAACTGAGAGTTTGGCTTCTCAAAGCATGCAGTTCCTCTTGTGTCTTCCTCCTTACCCAATATTTTTCATGGGGTCTCTATTTGCCATATTTCCATAAATGATGTATTTGAACTCAAGCTTCTATTTTAATTAGTTGCGCCATAATTCCATTTCGCAAGAACCAGAGCCCCAATCTCTCATTTCATTAGCCACGCTGAAGAGATTATTGCCCATAACTAAAAAATTACTTGCATAATTAATTCCTCAGAATCACTCTGGCCACCTTCCCTGTAATGGACTGGGGCTCCATTTTAGGGGTACTGCCCATTGAAGCTCATCTCTGTCCACCCTCCTGGAGTGCCTTCACATTTTGAGTTTTTGCAGGGGAAATCCTGAGGAAAGCAGGACCCCTGAGATAACGCTGGGCTTGAAGAAATTGGGTTTAATATAAACTGTACACCTTTAGATGAGGACAATGGGAGGGGGGGTTGGGGAGGGGGCAGAGAGTGGGGTGGGAACCTGGTGGAGGAGAGCAATGGAGGGGGGGGAAGGAACATTTGTAATAATATGAACAATAAAAATTTATTTTTTTTTTTTAAATCCAATCAGAGAGGCAGTTAATTACATGGTGCCTCACTTGCTGGAAGAAAGAAAAGAAAGAAAGAAAGAAAGAAAGAAAGAAAGAAAGAAAGAAAGAAAGAAAGAAAGAAAGAAAGAAAGAAAGAAAGAAAGAAAGAAAGAAAGAAAGAAAGAAAGAAAGAAACTAAGAAAGAAAGAAAGAAAGAAAGAAAGAAAGAAAGAAAGAAAGAAAGAAAGAAAGAAAGAAAGAAAAAAGAAAAGAAAAGAAAAGAAAAGAAAAGAAAAGAAAAGAAAAGAAAAGAAAAGAAAAGAAATTGGGTTCAAAATCATGGACCTGTGTGGGTAAGGACCCAAGGCACCAACCCAACAGCACATACCTGTGCCCTGGTGTGGCCCCATCATGTGCCGCTGGCCTGTGGTTGGCTTATATGGGTTTGGCTAGGTTCTCACCTGCTGTTGTCCCCCTTCGC